GTCTTTATTAACATCGATCTCATAATCAAATCCAGCCGTTACAGCCAGATGTAATTCTTCGAGCAATCGATATTTTATTACATTGCAGTACATTTGTAGGAGAGCTGCACTGAAATGTTATTAATATAAATTAAATTTAATAACAAATTAATTTATAAAAATCACAACATATAATAATTACAAGTTAGAGTTTATAATAGATATAATGTATTGTATATAGGGTATATATACTCGATAGACATTGTAGTACTATTATATAATGTATAAATATTGTTACATGTCCAAGCTATTATTTACTTTATTGGTGTTCGGAGATCCGAACAAGAAAGGTGGACAATATGAAGATTTATATGGCACACCGGCCACTGAAACTTCGGACGAAACCAAATTTCCGATATAGAATCATTGTGTATTTTTACAGGATATTTCGAAGCTTCTGTTGATATCGGTATAAAAGAGAAATTATTGGTAAGAAATTTATTGAGTGATGGTAAACGAAAATTAGACAATGGCTCGATAGATTTCCAGCAATCGAGCCATACGTTTGGTAACATGATATCTTCATAATTAATTTTAAAATGCGGTTCGACTATATTTAATTTAAAATTATTATTGAAAATCATAATCTTTGCCGTCTCTGGCACCAACAGATTCAAACATTTTTGTATAGCTTCTGGGTTATACTCGAAATAAATATGCTTTCCAGTTAGATAATCACACGGCTGATAGAAATGCATTCTCTTACATAAATCAAACACATCATCATGCTTACTAAAAAATCTAAAAAAGTATAAGTGCCATATCTTGTGTATTTTAATAGTATTTTTATTTTCTGCATATCTACTTATTCCTAAATTAATTTACCTAAAATTATTATTTCCAATCTTATAAAGCTCATTATAAATACTTTCTTCTGGACCAGTTCTTTTTATGAAATTTATAAAGGAAAATATTGTATCGAGAACGTTTCGCAGATGTTTTAGTCCCTCATCGGTGAGTTCTACTATAATCTCGAACAAAACATACATAGAGTTGTATCCAAAATCATTATCGTTATCACAGTTACCACAAAACACATCAAGGCCCCACATTTTTTTACGTAGATAACTAGTTAAAGAACCATTTCCTTTATGTTCAATAATCCATGAAATATATTCACTTGGTTTGCTTTTGTAATAATTTTGTAATGAAGGCAAAACCCATGTTAGATGCAGCTGTAAATGGCAAGTTTTATTTTTATATGCATTTGGTCAGTAAACACAGATTTTGTTTTAATTTAGGTGTCTAAGTTACATACTTGGTTGATATCATTAATGGGTTTAATCGATTTATATATTTTTTGGAAAGCGTCAGTATCAAATGAATTGCCATCTTTAAATTCGGTAAAGTCATCGGAAGGCATCCAATTACTTGGTAAAGGACTAAAGCGGGTTTCGACGTACTCTTCTAATACATCCAGCGAAAATCTCGCCTAAAACAGATGTACGTGTCATGTTATAAATTAACCATATTTAATAAGAAATCAATTGTTCATCGCAATTTTAACATATTATAGTTACTTTTATAACTAGCGTCATTCTGTGAGCGCTATAATGACGATCTCTGAAATTCTGCAGTTGTTCGAACAACTCGTTATCATCTATATCATTGTTTAAAGCTATTGAATTGCTTCGAAGAAACTTACTGGGTGGATGACCAGTTTGGGCAGTAAAAGACAATAATCGTTCTTTTCTACTTTTGTCACTAGATAAATCCAACTGAAACTCTATGTGAACATGCAGCATTAAAACACTGTAAGTTTTATCAACGTCATTACCATTATCAGTTATATACCTTCATGTATGATCTCTCGTTCTCGCTTGATGGCATCTTTCTTTATATAAAATTCATCGAAAGTAAAAGGAACGAAAGCTGATAACAACTTTGTTTCTGGGATATCAAAATAAAATCTTGTATACTCGCAATCTGTTGCGCTGTAAGTAGTGCCACCATGGAGACTGATAAATCCTTTAAAATCGATTTTCTATAAATAAAATGATATTTAAACATTTAATTATACAAAAAATGTATTTTATAAAAAATTCATTTATCATATTTTAATACATTTGGTTGTTTTTCGGATTCCATAAAAACCATGCGTTGAAGGAAATGTGCCAGTCCTGGAATTTCGGGTGGATCGCTAAAACTGCCTACTCCCACACATAAACTACAAATAACCTAAGTTTAAAAAAAAAATATATATATATACATACATATATATCCATATACTTACTTTGCGTTGTACACCAGAATATTAATATGATACATTAAGCACAAACAATAGTGACATTACCCGTGAACGGTTTACATATTTCTATGAATTCATGAACATTGATTTATTGATAATAGAGGAGTTTTTGCGGATATTGGATATTTTTTAAACAAGAACTCCTGATAGTGGGTGCATTTTGAATTACGCATGATGCATCATTTGTCCTCGTTGTTCATATAACAATAAAAAAGGATAAAATGATACATCATGCGCTTCATGCATAACACGGAACGCATCTGGTATCAAGCATTACTGAAGGAATACGCTATTAGTGCCATTGCGACATTTGATTCTTTCATATCTGATGAACGATAGAGATGGATCGACACAATTGCACTAGTAATGCGCTTCTGAACGCTGTTTTAAAGAGATAGCTTATTTATTTTTTATGCTTTTATAAGTTCGGTACTATTATTTCAATGAATTTTTAATAACAGATGAAAAATAATACGCTAGAAATATTTAAAAGTGCTAACTGAATTATCTTGTTTATACTTTCCTTACGTCTTTGTTATCTCGTTTAGCTGAAGAACAACTTACTTTAAAATCTTCATCGTCATTATCTGCTGCTTCCGGACCAGATATTAACAAAGCTGTTAAACCGTTTCCCAGTCTGACGACTCTAAATTTGAAAGACAAAACAATTAACGATATAATGAGAAATTACTGAAGGTCATATAAAGAACCTTAATTCTTTTTTGTAGAAAGTACATTGTAACATTTCTTTTAAAACATTATCATCGCACTAAATAATAGATCACACATATTTCTATTGAAATCGCTTTTTTCGCTGAGTTTCCAATCTTGTCTTACCTATATTCGGCTTTATGATACTCCGATTTTTCAGGCTGGTCTAGAATTGTATTTGGCATTATATCGACGTGGAAGAAACCGCAAATAGACACAATACGATTTGTACAGAGAACTCAAAAGAGAACTTTTATATGTTCTAACTTCCTTGCCAGTAGACTGGACACAGTTTTAATCAGTACTCTAGTCGACACTTCTTTATTCTGCCTGTTTTCGAACGAACATGAATATGAAGGTCAATTCCAATTGCTTGTGTATATACATACATTGTAGCAGAGTGGAAATAAAAATAATAAGCAAAGTCGTTTGTACCCAGTATTCGGACAATCTGAATTTTGTATTTACCAATAAGCACACGAAGTTATTTCTATCTATTTCATTTCCAAAAACTTTAATTTTTAACATGTACTTTGTTATATTATTCAGAAAGTAATAAAAAATTACTTAAAATCAAATTTTTGAACTGTACAATTCATTTAATCTAGTATAATATCGCTTCCATGTTAAATATATAACAAAAAATTTCATAAATGTAATGTAATTAATTACCGTAATTTCACACTATAATACGAAATCACACAACTATGATCTAATTTACGCGAAGAAACAATGCTGAAAGTCCGCTTTTCAATACTTTAACAATGTTATTCAATCTACTCTTTATTATTTAATACGTAAACGGTTTGTGCCAAATCGGTGTATCTTGCGCGCGAGTATTTGAATCATAGTTGCATAATTGGATCATAGTTGTGTAAAAATATGGTAATAATATTTAAAATATTTGCTAAATTATATCTTTTCATTTATTGCAATCATATTTCATGTTATTATACTATACTTTACATTATGTTCTAATATATTACATTTGTCGCATTCAGTAGACTCAACTGTTACGTTGCGGATTCGTGAGTGCTCACTGCTATTAGATGATCTAAAAGAGTATATCAGTAGCTGCGAAGCAACAGTTGAATCTGCTGAACGCGATCATTATGTTTATTGCATTTTCTATGTATTCTCATATTTATTAAATATAATAATAGATTATGATAACAATATTTTATCATAACATATGTATAATAATAATATATAAAATATATAATGTATAATATTCATTATATTTTTTATCATATATCTCCGTTGCATTTTTCTGCTTTAGAACGTTCTATGAATATGGCACATTTACTATGAATCCGATATTGCAACCACATGTACGACAGGTACAGCCATAAACATAATAAGAGTCCTGTTCTTTTTGGCTGAACTTTTGCACCAATTGATCTTTCTTTTTTTTCTCTCCAGGAGGAAAAAAGAGGAAGAAAGATAAACTGGTGTTCAGCCAAACAAAAGTTCAGTAAAAAAAAACAGGCCTATTAATAGACCGAGCGTGTTCTCTACTTTGGTGAAGATCAGGTAAAAGGAACAGAGAGTAGATGCAGCTTTTTCTCTCTGTTCGAGCATGTCATTCTCTTTGTCACACTCAACTGTTTCTCTACTTTTCTTTTCTTTTTACACCTTGCTTCCTCTCCCCCTCTTTTTCCTCGTCAGAAAGAGAAAGTTACACGGCATCCGTTGTCCGTTTTTTTCTACCTAGTTTCAAACCTTACGCTCGGTCTATTCTAAGGATATATCCACACAAACTTGCATAAACATAAACGTATGCATAAGGAAAATTATCCAATCACATTTTACGTGCGTCTTTATAGGAAAAATGCAATTGGATAATTTTCTTTATACATACGCGCGCGCGCGTTTATGCGGCTATGCAAGTTTGTGTGGATATATCCTTCGAAGCTCCGCACAATAAAAGAAACAGGGAACAGAGAACAGAAAACAGAGAATAAGAATTATATTTCAACCTATCAGAAATCATGTATTGTGGAATACACAGTTTCCGATAGGTTAAAATTCTTCTCTGTTTCTTATATTATATGGAGTCCCTTATTATGTCTATGTTCACTGATCCGCAAAAAGATGCAATATAATGCAAATATAATGAAGTATCGAAAAAAGCGCGAAAAAACGAGGATAGGTGCGCCATCTCTTTGTAAAGAATATCACTAAAATGTCTCTGGTACTGATCAATGGCAAACGCGATCCCCACTTTATCAACCGAGTGGCTCATCCGCGCCACGTGTCCAAGCGACCATTTGCTCGGCGCCACTGTGCAAAGACGACGGCGTCTTCTCTACGCGCGTTTGGCCAGCCTGTTCCGCGTTTTTCCGCCATTATAAAGCGCCGTGGCGGCGTACCCGCTATTCCCTGGTGAGAAAGGCGAAATATACGACGCTTACCGACGCTCGGCGTCGTTGAGCGAGTGAGCGAGCGAGCTAAGCGAGCGGGCGAACGAGCAACTAACAAGTGAGTCGAAGTAGCAGCCGCGCGAGTTGTCTGCGAATTTCATACTCTCGGTGGTCGGGCGGTAGAATTGCTTTGAGTACTCGAGTAGTTATAATCGCGCGGAATTGTCGAGCGGGGACGAGGCATCGGTGAGCTCGTGGAGTGGATCGGAACACGTTACTAAAGAGGAAGAGGAGGAGTAGGAGGAGGAGGAAGTGGAAGTGGTGGAGGAGGCGGCGAGGGCGAATTTAGACGCCGGCAGACATGGAGAACAGGCCGGCGCCGCTACGCTCGCGGCGCGTCTGCCGATTTTGCTTAACGGATTCGGAGCCTCTAAGCTTCATCTATGAGCGTGATCACAACAAGCCGTTCCAGGTGCCGCTCGCGTTGCAGATCATGTCCTGCGTCGCCATCGAGGTGAGTACCCTCAACGGCCCATCGGCGGCATCGACCACCGGAGATGCCCCGTCGAGTTCCCCTCGCGGGTAACACGCGCGTAATCACACTTGACTCTACCGTCCTCGTATCTGGGAGAGGGGTTTGATTAGGTAGCGCGAAATGGAAGGGGGCAGGGGCGAGTTGCCGCGAGGGGTGTGCTTTTGTTGTGTCACGAAGTGAGTTGATGTACGATCGTGTGATAATATAGGCAGCGATATTGTCGGCCGATCTGACGGCGCGATTCTGGCGATTGCAAAGAGAGGACGTTTCATTTGCATTTCCCGCCTGATTTCTTTTTTCTTTTGAAGTTTCTCGGAGTTGGAATCTTTCAGTGCGACGATGATTTATTTTTATTCAAAAACAATTTAAAGCAAATTTGTTCTTTCTTATAAAATAAAATTTTATTAAAGATTTTATCCAACGATTTGTTGATGAAATATTCTATTTGTTCATATTTATAAATGCTTTAATATTTACAATGGTTAAATTAATATTTAAATCTAATATTTAAAAGCTTTAATATTTATTGCGTATTTTTCGCATTTTAATGGAAACTGAACTTAGACAATAAAAAATCTAAAATTGAGACGTTTTAAAAACTTTTTTAGACGTTCCAAAACATGTCCGAAAAAGATGACTACACGATCAATAATACTGTCAGTATTAACAAATACTGACAATATTACTAATTAACATATATGTTAATATTGATGAATTGACGTAGAATGCTGATCTGGAGCTGATCTTGATTCTCGGGCATCAGTATTGCTTTATTAGACTCTATCACAGTATGTTACAATACAATTGATAATGTACGTAAACTTAAAGTGAAATATATCGTTAATGATCGTAAAAGGTTGTAAAAATTCAAAAATATTGATGCATACTGTCATTATTATTGACCATGTAAGATCACTTTTATACATAATCAAGATTGCTATAAAACTGAAAATCAAGGAAATATCAAGAAAATTAAAAACGGGTAGGAAATTTTGAAAAATTGTTTAAAAAATTACAATTCTTGATTTAAAAAAAATTTATTATGTTTTCATCATACCTACGCAGTTTGGGAATATTTACTATCAATTTAGCAATTAAGTGCAAGCAGTGTCAGCAACAAATAATTTACATTGTTATGTTAAATTGCTCTTTCAACAAATATTATCTAAATCAGGATGAAAATACAAAACAGTTTTTTTAATATTGATTGAAGCATCAGGGAAAATCATGAAATTTTGTCTGAAATTCAGGGAAAAGTTATGGAAGTTAGGAATTTGTGGCAATCCTGAATATAATATATTAAGAAATAGAATCTATTTATTTAGTGTACTATTAATGCATAAAATAATACATTAAAGAGATTTGTCATATTTAATATTTTAAGTTAAATACTATCACTTTTTGTATTTTATTCCTCTATTATATATATCTTTTGTATTATTATAATTTTATTTTATCGATATTTTTATTATATTATCGAATGTGTTATGTAATCCTATTATACATACATTACATTCTGTTTAAATGAAAGTTCAAAAAAACAGAAAAATTATGTATATAATGTTCTATAAGATAATAATATTCTTTTGCGAATAAATAAGAAAATTATTGTATTCAATATTTGTGTTCTAATTTTCCATTATATGGCATATTTTATTAATATTATCCAGATGTAATATATATGTTTTATTATTTTTTAAAATCTTTTTATAAACATCTTTTAATCAACGAGTTTTTATTATATACAAAATTGTATAGTGCAGTTATGTATATTCATTTATATATTATACATATTTGTAGTGTCTATATTATATACAACACTTTAATATATGTAAATTATAATTTATAAGATTTATAGTAGATATATGTGACTTTGAGAATTTATAATACAAAAACAATGTAAATCCAACGAAACCTCTCCTACAACTCCTGAACGTCCAACACGGAAGGCACTTCTTTCCGGATCCTTGATAGGTAAGCACGTTGCTAATGATCCATCGCATCTTGTTTCTTGATAGGTCTATGCTGCAGACGGGATGCCGCAGATGATCTGCACTATGTGTCGTTGGAATCTGGACCGCTCGTACAAATTTAAGTTGCAATGCAAAAAGGCTGACGAAGCATTGAGAGATTATCCTCTGTCTGGAGTACTGCCGAGACCCTTCCCTCCTATTCCCAACGATCCTCCGACAGAGATTGGCAGCAAGAGACCCGCCGAGTCTAGGTCGCAGAACGAGATCTCGAAAAAGCAACGCACTTCTGATAACGATAGCAGAGATGCTAGACG